TTAGTGTGATATTTTTACTGAGTTTGTGTATCTCACAATTTTATTAACTATTTTAAATCAATAGGACCAAGATTCAGATTCCGATTAGTAAGAGGGTTGTGGTAGTTCACTATTTAGACTCCATTTAAGTGCTAGTGAAGGTTGTCCTAAGATGCTTAGTTAATTCACTTTTCGTTTTATTTCTTTCATTTTCATTTGTCTTTTATAAGGGACATTCTTGTATCCCTATTAAACATTCAAAATTATTGTGTAAGGAATATACACCCCTAACTTTATTAATCGTTTTCACATCTAATTTATGAATTTATTTTATTTTAAGTTCCGAGTCTCTACAGTGCCTAATAAACTCAAAAAGATTATGCAAAGTCCAATTTTAAATTCTACAAGAGAGCAAGATCCTATATTGATTTTATAAACCAGCTTCAATAATTGGCAAAAAATAAAAGAAAAAAAAACGATGAAGGGGATCTATCATTTTTCAAATCGATACAAATTCAACATGGATCTATGATCGTTTTAAAACTGTGATGTTTTAGAGAAGGCTGCTTGGGCGTTTGAGCTTTTGAGCTTCAAGGCCTGGCTTGAGAAAATTGAGAGTCGAGTTGAGTCAGAGTTATTTGTGTTCATTACAGAAAGCTAGTTGGATTTTAAAGAAAAACTTTTAAAGTTTTTGCTTGGGGTTTGGCCAATTTTTTTTTAAAAAACCTAAACTAATTTGACTTTTAAATAAAACTGAAGTATTACTTAATTACAATTATATAATATAATTGTATATGGATATATATATATATATATATGTATAAATTGAAAGTTTCCATGGAAAGTTTTGGAAACACAGCTTTTCCTTGAACCTTTTAAATGCATATAGGACGGTATAATTACTTAAACAATTTGTTTCTTTTTTTGTTTTTTTCATTTTTTTTTTATAAATTTTTTTGATTCTTTGTTCTTTCATATTTTACATATCTTTAGCTAATAATAGAATATAAAAATTATATGGGAAATTAAGGATTTTTTTGTGTATTTTCGTTAGTTGTCATTTTTTATTTTAGTTAATCAAACCCCATAAAAATTAAAAGGGTATGACAATTTTCCATATTTACTTGGGTTTTTATTAAAGACTATAATAACATTAATTTTCTACAGACAGAAAAATCAATTTTTCTTGAATGGTAAAGTGTCATACTTCAATTTTGTTGAATTCAAATAATAATAATTATAAAAAATAACAGTAAGAATAATGACAATAATTGTAATAATAGTTATAGTAATAATAATAAAGTATTAAAATAATTAATAAAAAATTTAAACAACTATATCTATTTTTTTTACAATTAATATTGTTGTTATTATTATTTTTACTATCATTATCATTATTGTTATTAGTGTATTTTTGTTGCATTATTATTATTGTTATAATTCTTCATTCGATTTACTATTATTCTCTTATATGGCAAGCAAACAAAAAGAAAAAGTAAAAAAGAGAAGAAAAATAAAAATAAAAAATAGGAAAAACATGAAAAAGAAATTAAATGAATGAGAAAAGAGAAGTGCAAAATCAGGCTCGGACGTTTTATCCTAAACGCGTGCACAAAGCCTAGCTTCGACGAACGGATTCAGCCTAGGTTTTTAATTATGCTTCGCAAAACGATGTCGTTTCACGAAGCTTTTTGTTAACCGCCTCCAATGACGAAGATCAGAGAAATGGGGAGGGTTAAGGCTTACTTTCTTCCGGTATTTGAAAATATAAAATTCGAGAGAGGCTGGGGAAGGCAAACTACAAACCTGACTAGGGTTCAACGGTCGAGATTTCGAGAACCGATAAACATGAAGAAACGCTATGGTTAGTGTTCGAGGAGGATGACTCTGGTCAGAGGCCTTGCGTGAAGTGCGAAGAAAAGGAGGAAAACAGGAGCTTCAAGGCAGTCGTGGACTCGAGGTTTACAAGAAAAAGAGGATGGACGTTGTCAAAGGAGAAGTTGATCCATCAGTCAATCAAAGCCGAAAGAGGAAAGAAAATTTAAATTTTCTTCCTCTCGCCGTGGTCATTTGTTGAAGGAAGAAGAAAAGCCAGAGGATTAAAAATGAAGATTCTGACGGTGCATGGTAACAGGGGAACCAATTTGAAAGTGACAATTCAGAGGAGAACATCAGGGTTCGCTATATCCCCTGCGTGTTCTTGAAATACCTTTCGGCCATAAGAAGGGAGGAAAGTAAATAGAAGGAGTACACCTTCTGGATTTTTAAAAAGGAAAAAGTTAAGGGGAAAAGGAAGAGAAAAAAAACGAAAAGTGAAGGAATGCCGTGATAAGCGATTGGCTAAGGAGAAAAGAAATGCGGAGGATACACATTATGAGAGAATGAGGTGATTCAGGCAAGAAGAAGTTGGCAGAAGGATGCGAGGCTTGGAGGTAGAGGAGTAGAAGCCTTAAGAAAGTCATTTAGGTATTTCCAACCAGGGTCCCTCAGGTAAAATCTAAAATCCTAAATTCTTGTGCTTTTGTGCTTGTTGCTTGGATTTTTGAAAACTTGTTGCTATTATTGAAGGACATTATAAGCTCGAAATGGACTCTTTCTTGTAATTTACGTTTAATGCATATTTGCGCGTGTTTGAACTGAGGATTTGGAATCTAGTAGCTTGAATCTGCTTATTGAAGTGCAAATTGAACGAAGATCTAAAGACTATGATATTTCAACTATTAAATGCACGTACTTGAATGGGGACAGTATGTGATTTCTTCCTACAGCTTGACTAGGCCTGTTAGTGCTCATAAATTTGGAAGCATTTTGTAATATTCAAAAAAAAATTTGTAAGCATTTTGTTCTTTGATACTTTCAAACTTCATTTTTTGGGATGGAAACGCCATTTCCCACTGTTTTAAGTTGTTTCAAGGTCCTTAAACTAAAAATCATTTCTTTCTTGAAACGTGAATATCTCGCTTAGGATTTTGGCCCTTTATTTTTCCTCTTTTCTTTAGGTTCTTAAATTCTCAGTGACTTCATGAATATGGTCGTGTTTTTCTTGTTATGCTATTAATTCGCTTTGCTTTCTTAGATTGATATAATGCCTCAACGGTTCTGCTTTGTATTTTCTAAACTAGAAAAAATCAATGTTTTATTTGCAGTTTTAGAAGTGAAATAAATTGGAGTGGAAGGCTGTTTTATGTCTTTTTGCATTTATTGTTTTGGGCTTTCACATTTAAATACTCTCTGGTGCTATTTGAATATAACACTTGCTGTTTGGAAATGAAATAAATGAATACTGAAGCTGTTTTAGGTACGTAAAAAAAGCGGTTTCAAGGCTTAAAGAGGGCCCATTTTCATGTATTTGCATTCACTAATTTTAGTTTAAACATCCAGGGACTACTAAAGGATATTTAAACTGGAAACTGAGATGTTATTCACTCTTTCATAAGTGAAATGAATGGGAATCAGGGGTGGTTCCATGTCCCTTTACATTCACTGTTTTGATTCTGCATTTAGAGGTTGTTTTGGTGTTCTTTAGACAAAAATTGACATGCTACTTATCTTGTTCTCCTAAATGCAATTAATAAAAAAGTTTTTTGACTTGAATAAAGACTTAATCATAGTTTCCATGTAGTTTTTAATGGATTTTTTTTGCATGAATTAGCATTTTTTCTAAATTAGGTATTTTATTTCATTTTTGTTATCTCACGAACTATCTTTTTGTGCAATTTTTGTTTTCATCTTTTGTTTTTACTTTTATTTTTATTTTGTTTTTTTAATAACCCAAACTAATTAACCTACACCACTAGATCGGTGCCTTGCCCCTTCACGTTTGGTTTCAATTTCTGGATTTAATTTCTCTTATTTAGACTAGTGTATGTTCTGGTGCCTAATCCGACATTAAAAAAAATTAATGATAACTCCTTTTTGCATTTATTCCAAATTCTCATTTTTGCGGAATTTCACTTCTGCTTCACAGCTGCGACAGTAAGAACTATAAAGACATATGTTCTTGTGACCAGTATGGTACTTGTCTCAAGAAGATATACATTGAATAGGGCCATTTTCACATGGAGCCTTGAAAGTTTACTTGTTAATGAATTTTGAAGTACTTGGGTTCTTGATGATATATGGTTCTAGATGGTATAGGAATTTTAAATCTTCAATCCCTTTGTAGACCCCACATCAATAGAATACATCTTTGTTGGTTATTCGTTAAATCAAAAGCAATATAAATGTTATTCACAGTCACCCGAAAGTTCTATAACTCCATGGATGTCACTTTTTTTTAAAAACAACCATACTATAAAATTGATATTTACAAGAATCCCATTTTTGGGATTCTACCATTGAATATCTTCATCTTCCTCCAACTAAACTTATTTAGTGGCTAAAGAGTGTATTTTGAGTAATGATAACTTGATGAGAAGAGGGAAGATTATAGGGAATAGATGCTTCCTTTGCAAGAGTGCTGCCAAGTCCAATAACCACTTACCACTTTGGTGTCCTCTAACCTACATTCTCTGGACCTTAGTCGATAGTCTTATGGGTATAAATTGGGCAATGGCGGGTTTGGTGAATAATGAACTATTGGCTTGGAAGGGCCTTCGTAGGAACAACAAATTTGCTCGTCTAATTATTTTGTCCATTTTTTGGATTATTTGGAAGAGGAGAAATAACAAGGCTTTTGAGGGAAAGGGAAGATTTTTTTGTGAATATTAAAGATAGGTAGTTTCATTATTTTAGTTTCGTCATTTTGGGACATAACCTTTATAGTATGGAGGATTTTTGAGTCATTGTAGATATGCTAATTGATATGTAAATCTTTTGTACATGGGTGACACCCTCTTGATGTCGTTTACTTAAAGAAAAAACCTATTCAGTCTTCAAAAAACATGGATCGAGATGAAATACCTGTACGTGAATCTACTCATTACATTGAAAAACCTAAACTTTGGTTCTACACCAGAAGGAACAAGAACCAAGAAGAGAAAGAGTCACAATCGGCTGATCAGAGTCATGAATCCAATTTGGATCTAAATCCACCATCATTGAATATTTCAAGTAATTCAAGTTCAGATCTCTTCATTAATAATTTGTATGATGATAAGTTTATTGCTCTAAGAAAATAAAAAAAGCATGTATTGATAATCCAATTTATAATTTTATTTCATACAAAAGTCTGTCATCAACTCGTTAGAAATTTTGTTAGCAATATTGATAATATACAAATATCAAGAACAATAAATGAAGCATTGAAAGTACTTGAATGGAAAACTGCAATCATAGAGGAAATCCAAAACTTATAAAAGAATGAGACTTGGTAACACAAATACCACTTGAGGAACATCTAGTTGACTCTAAGTTGATGTTCACAATCAAACATAATGTTGATGGTAGCATCAATAAGTTTAAAGGTTTATTAGTAACCAAATGCTTTACTCAATCCAATGGAGTTGATTATTAAGAGATATTTGCATCAGTAACAAAGCTTAACACAGTTTGGATACTAATATCCTAAACTGTCGATGTGGATTGATTACTACTAGATGTGAAAATTAATTTTTTTAATGGAGAATTGGAGGAAGAAGTGTATATGGAGATACCATTGGCTTTGAAAATTAAGTCACTAATAGAAATGTCTGCACACGCAAAAAGTCCATTTATGAACTTAAATGATCTTCAAGAGTATGGTTTGACAAATCCACTAAGGTAATCAAGGGGTTTAAATATAATTAATGCTAAACAAATCATACTATGTTTGTTAAGTATTATCCTCCAAGGAAAAAGCGCAATCCTCATCGTATATGTAGATAATGTAATAATTATAGGGAATGATACATTTGAGATACTCAGACTAAAAAAGGTCGTAGTTAAAGAATTTGAGATTAAAGATATAGGAAATCTCAAATATTTTTTGGAAATGGAAATTGCTAGACTGAAGAAAAAAATCTAAGTTTTTCAATAAAAATATGTATTGAATCTTTTAAATGAGATTGGAATCCTTGGATGCAAGCTCTCAAACACACCCATAGATCCCAATATTAAACTGAAAAGTAAAATTGGTAGTATAATTGACAAAGAAAGATACAAACCTCTAGTGAGTAAATTGATTTACTTGCACACATATCAAACCATATATGATCTTTTTCGTTAATGTAGTAAGTCAATTTAGGAATAACCTAACTGAAGAACATATAGAGGCAGTATTTCAGATTCTCAAGTATTTAAAAATGGCACCTGGATAAAGATAGTTTTTCAAGAAAGACAGAAGCTAAGAAATTGAATCATATATTGATGCAGACTATAACGATAGAAGATCCACTTTTGGGTACTTTACATACGTACAAAGAAACCTAGTTACTTAGAGAAGCAAGAATCAATCCGTGCTATCACAGAGTAGTGCTAAGGCTAAGTTTAGAGTTTTAACACGTGATATTTGTGAAGGAATGTAGTTACAAAGGGTATTGGATGAATTGAGAATTTTTCTCTTTAGAGCCTATGAAATTGTCATGTGATGATCAATTTACAATAAGTATATCAAAGAATCCAGTTCATCATGATCGAATTAAGCATGTGGAGATTGATAGACATTTTGTTAAAAAGAAAAAGAATTATGAGTACCATCTTTGTGGTATATTTACTCTTGCCATCAAATAACATATATTTTTACCAAGGCATTATTAAAGAAGAGTTCCGAAGAATAGAGTTTCAAGTTTGGTTTGCTTAACATCTTCAAACATTGAGGGGCAACATAGGAATCTGACTTTTTATAGAAATCCAATTCATATACAGATTGGTATTTTCAGAAAAATCTTCGCATAAAGTAGACTTATAGTCAATTTGTGTAAGTGAATTTTTTTTTTTCATGGGACTGATTTGCATTTAGTTTTCTACTAGAACTCTTATACGGGGTAACCCTTACCTTCGTGTATAATAATACTTTTAACTTTTATCTCAAAAAAAATTTTTCTACTAAAATTCTTTTTAATTTTCTTTTATATATTTATCAATTGTAAATTAATATTATGAATAAGAATTCAAAAAATTTAATTTCTAATTTTCAAATAAAGGATTCCATCTTGGCAAATTTGAGTTGGCTAAGGTGTAATGCTTTGTTGAACTATCAGGCAAGCTATATTTATATGTTTCTGTGAGAAATTGTTGAAAAAGAAGCTGTTAGAATGCAACACCAGTTTCAAAGAGTAATTTTCATGATTTTTCGTTGTTCATATTTATAGCACATAGAGTTAGTATTTAATCGAAACAATTTAATACAAAATGATTAGATCAGAAAAGTAGAAACTAAAATAGATCAGAAAAACTGATTCTTTTTCTGTCTTAAACTGCATTTTTTGCGGCAATTCCTTCTTCTAAGCTAAAGACTGGAAGTGCTGCAATAAGTCCAGAATCTTGTCTGACACCATAATTCTGGTTTCCAAGGTGAACTTTGTTTGGGATTTTTGTTCAGACTGAATTTCTGATGGATTTGGAAATTAAATCTTATCTTTTACAGGACGAAATGGGAGAACTGAAGACTTTCTTTTATCTGGTGGTGAAGGTATTAATTTTTGAACTAGACAAGTATAGTTTATTATGTTTGTTTTATGATGACTTGCATCAAGTAAAACTTTAGACATATACAAAGAAAAGCATGTTTTCTTACATGTGCTGGTGATTCCTGCAAACATGATATTTTGAAAACTCATTCTTTCCCTTCTGGACTAGCAATGAAAATAAAGAAGTAATCTTGGATCATATTGAAGTAACTTCATTTTATTGCGTATACATGAATATGATACAACATAATATGTAATTGGATGAATTATGAGACAAAATAATCCAATATTTAGTGATAAGATCAGATATAGCAAATATAATTAATTATACACATTGGTGGAAAGACCTTTATCAAGATTATTCATAATATTCCAGAATTATTTATACAAAAATATTGCAAAACAATTTATTTATTTTTAGTTTTAATTAATCATCATATCAACACAAGGTAAAAAGAAACTAAACTAAAATACAACATACAGAACCAGAACGCATTGGTTCAAGGAACTTGTGTATATTCATTTTATTAAAGTTACATGCTAGCCTTTGATGATTCTGCAAATTCTTCTAGGAGTTGCTCAATAATTTTTCGGGATGTAATCCTATCAGCTTCAAATGCCCTCATGTCATCTTTTAGACCTGCATCCGTTGCAGCAAAAAGAGTTAACTGGTCAATTCTTCAATGAAGATACATTTCGCCATTTGAATGAAGTACATGCATGGAAGATAACAAGCAGCCACATGCCACCACCACATGTTTGGTAATGGAATTTACGCTTTCCTCATTTTGGCAAAAACTAACCTGGCTTGTGGAGAAGTTTCAGTGGCAGTTGGGAGGCATTTGAATCCAAGAAGAAAAGGAAGTTCTTCATAAGCTCCATATATTCAGTTGAGATCAGTAATTCCCTCTGAATGCACAAACAACACTTTCATGTTGGATTGAGGAGAAAATATCTAAGGCGAATGAATGTTGTTTCAACCATAAGGATAGATTAAGAAATTACTGATTATCAGCATAGTCATTGACTTAAAAATATAAGATAATTTTAAAGACCTAATGTAAACTCCATTTGGATACTACCATCATCATGTTTCATTTGATTCAAGTTTTATTCTATTCCTTGAGATTACTTAATATATATATATATATATAGATATAAATGAATGATTGGATCGAAATTTGTATATTTGATACATAATTTAATCAATCCCACTTGTATATTAAATTCTATAGAAATAGATTTCTGGTTTTACTTGGCCAGGTAAGATTCACAACTTTATCGAACTTGAAAGTCTTGTGTGAGCAATGGTGCCTAACAAGATCAGCACTAATGAACTTGCTTCAGGCCATTAGATTTATAGGATGTTGTCTCCAAATGTTTGTTTGACGCCCAAAAGCAATGAGCAGTTGAAGTCTAAACTTGGTTTAGCAAAGGACTTACCAAGCGCGAAGGAAAGGGCCTTCACCACTTGGAGCCATATGCGCCCTGGGAGGGCTTGCACATGCAAAGCTAGTAAGAGTCATCTTATCCCAATAGCATATATTTGTAAGGCAATATGGAATATATAATACGAGTGTGTTTTGATAATTGATACACTTCACATTAAAAAATTTTCAAATATTTATTTATAAATAAAGAATAAAACAATTTTTTAACAAAGTTTGGATATTTGAATTTGTCATAAAATAATTGTATAAGATTGTCTAATTAAGTTGGATTGTTTTGATACTCAACACATATTCATTATGAAATTGTTTTCTAAAAGATCCATTATCCTTAAAAAGAAAGAGCCTCTAGTATACCTTAACATTGGCGATATGATTTTAGGTAAGTTTGCTTATTGATAACAAGTTACAATTTAAATTAGGTACAAACTACTCATTTTAAAGTTAATTCCTTTGAGATGTAAATATAATTTATTTTGATCACTCTTAAGCGAGATCAATCCGTTATTTTTACAGTAATGTTCTCTTGACATGGATTTTATTCTTGGAATAATGTTTCTTTTTCCATTACGTGATTAGATGTCTACGAGTCAATAATCCAAATATCTTAACTTTTGAAATAATATTAAGAACTGTAGAAAAATTATTTTCTCCGATTGTTTTCCCAAATCTTATGATGTTATTGATAGACTTTTGACGTAGGAACATTTTCTGAGGGATTCTATCTACACCTTGTTAAGTGAGCATCATTTCTTAATGAAGACACCTTCATCAATAGAGGTATGATTTTTTTTATTTTCCTTATCTGTGGTTAATTTGTGATCTTTAAATCAGTTGATTTTTCATAAATTTTTCAGAAATTGTCTCAATTATGATGTGGTCTTACATTTCTTTTTTGATTTTTTGAGTTAGGATGATGATCTTGGACAATCAAGACATAATAGGCCTTGTGGATCTATCTCCTTAAATTACCTTTTTTTCCTTTTGCTTCTTCTCTCCTTATTTTAGAAAATATCTCATGAAAATTAAATAATGGCTTCATTCCGAGTATTCGTCCTCAAACTTCAACTAAATTTTTATTCAATCTTATGAGAAATTTAAAAGTTCTTTCTCTTTCCAAAATTTCTATGTATTGTTTTGAATCATCTGAACAACTCCATGCAAGTTCCTCAAACACATTGAACTGTTATTAGTGACGAGTAAGCATACCATAATTTTAGGTTACAGATTGGTCTTCTTATTACAGGTCATGGAGGCTAAATTCGACTGTAAAATCTCCGATGTGTTTTCTCTACTAGAGTAAAACTCCTTGATTGTTTTCCAAATTTCGTGTGCTATCCCGTACAAAAAGAAACTCTCACTGATATCATTTATCATGGAGTTAATCAGACATGATATAATTACATTATTCTCGATCTTCTATATTCGAAGTTTTAAGTCTTCGATGCTCGGTTGAGTGACTTCTCTAGTGAGGTATTCTTCCCTATCTCTTTTGTAGTTAAACTGTCAGGAAACCCCTTAAGGTTTACTACAGAATGAAAGGTAAAAAAGAAAATATACACATAGCAAATTGGGAAAAACACATAACAACTGGGATTATGGTTGACTAATCCTAAATAGAATTCCACAACCGATGCATTTGCCTTTCAGTCCATCTCGTAGATGAAACCAATCATCATCATCACGCAATTCCGACTGCGCAACTCTAGCAAGCTTGATTCTACCTTGAAGAATGATTTTATTTAATGTATTTAAGTGTATAAAAAGGGGTTCATTCCATCGATTGTAAGCACAACTAGAGATTAATAAATCTTATGTTTTCTCTTATCGTTCTTCATATTCTCTATTTTTTTCTTCTTCTTCTCCATTTTTTCTTCACAAGTTCAGAGGCATGTCCAAGGCTTTGGACAAGTTAGTATTAGAAAAAGAACTGGTTGAATTTTACGCCGGTATTACCACTTGAACACGCTCAAAAGGAAAGGCCCCAATGGTCGAACCAGAAGGTTCCGATTCACCCACCACAAGGAACTTGATATGAAACTAACGGCCTTCATGGAGTAATCACACAAGTAGTACAACATGTTGCTGGAACTACTCCGATGCATAACAGAATGAATTGAAGGAAGTTCTGCGCTATAGGAAGCCGAGAATTTGCCCAAATTGGGGTTGTGGTTACCTCGTTTACCTGAATCTATATCTTTTGCACCAGATCTGATCGAAAGGAGAAACGGATCTAGACAAACCGATTTGACCCGACCCGATTTGACACGATCCAATTTGACTGAATCCTATTTGACCGAAATTGGTTCGAACTGAACTACTCAGAAATTACCCTATGGAGTTACTAGATCGCACTGGATCACCCGCAATCGTGCACTGAAGTGGTACACTCCCCATTTATGCACTCCCTAAGGTGAAAATTTCCCTTTTTAAAGGTGAAACCCTCGCGGGTGGGTTCGATTGTAAAAAATATTTTATGGTTCACCATACTCTCGAGAAACAAAAAGTTGAGATTGCATCCCTATATTTGGGTGAAATCGCGGACATATAGTATCGTGAGTGGTTAGTTAAGTTTGACACCCTACTTTGAAAATATTTTGTGGAAGAATTCTACTGACGTTTTGGAGGACTCTCACTGAAGGATTTCATAGAAAAGTTCGCAAAATTATACCAAACATGTATCATTCTCAAATTTATAGAAAAATTTGAATACTTACGTTCTCTTATAGATGCAGACAACCTAACACTTTCAGAAATATTTTTCATATCCACTTTTATTAGTGACGTCAGGCAACAACTATAACCATGATAAGGATCTTCAAATTACAAACACTCAACCAAGCATTCGAACAGACCTTACTGCAAGAATAATCTATCATAGAGCTCTGAAATCTCTATCTTCCCAACTATGAAGCTCCCTCAATGGAAAGAGACCGATATCATGATAGACCTTCCAGGAGCATGGGAAAGGGAGTAGATCCTAAAAGATCAACAACTTACTACAAATGTGGATATAGATATTTCTCAGAACATTGATGCTCTAACAAAGCAGTAATGATAACAGAAGAGATTTTGGAGGACAAAGCCTTTGAGAAAACTAAAGAGCTTGACGACGACTTTACTAGCACTCTATTTCTACAAGCAATAGAAGGGGTCACCATAGGAAGCACCCTAAAGATATGAGAGAAATATCATGTCATGATGTGTTGGTCCTATTGAATAGTGAAAGCTTACATTCCTTTCTGGACGAAAGAGCTTCTAAATGGATCAAGAACTAGGCGGTCAGCAGTAAACCCCTAACAATTATGTTGACCAACAGGTAAAAGATGTCTAGTCACCTTAAATGCCCAAAGGTGACATGAACCAAGCAAACAAGCTCATCTACAATTTTCGCATCATTGTATTAGGAGATTATGACATAATACTAGGGGTCGACTGGATGAAGCGATTTGGCCCAATGATTTTGACTTTCTCCACGCAACAATAAGATTTGATTATGGAAATTTACATATATTCCTACAGGTTGTGTCTCCCGCAAAACATCCAAGGCAAGAGAAATAAAGGCGAAACATTTGGTCAAACATAAGCAAGCGGTCAAAGGTGGAACTGTATTCTTAGTAATGGAGGTTCCAGAAGAGGTACCTAATTTCGAGAGGCCCAACCCAACACTCGAAGCACTACTAGGACAATATCAAGATGTCTTTCAGGAACCGCAAGGGTTGCCACCGCCCAAAGCTTTCAACTACGTCATCACCTTGTCCAAATAGAATGTATCGGTGAATATTCGACCTTACAGATATTTGTTCCATAAGAAGAACAAAATAGAAAAGTAGATACAACAAATTCTGAAGGATTTATTAATATGATCTAGCCGAAGTCCTTTCTCTTCACCAGTAGTGCTTGTTAAGAAGAAAGATGACACATAGAGGTTTTGTGTGGATTATAGAGAACTAAACTCCTTAACTGTAAAAGATAAGTTCCTCATGATCTTATTGATGAATTAGATGGAATAAATATCTTCTCTTAAACTAATCTTCGAGCAGGGTCTCATCAGATCAAGATCAAGGAGGAAGACATCTACAAGACGGCCTTCAGGACACACTAGGTCATTATGAATTCAGAGTGATGTCTTTTAGCCTGACTAACACATCTTCAAGGCCTTTCTTTGAAAATTTGTATTGATCTTCTTTGACGATATTCTATTCTACAGTACTACTGAGTAGGAGCACCTTATTCATTTGAATGAAGTTTTAAAGATATTCTGAAATAACAGGTTTTATGTAAAATAATCTAAGTGTTGTTTCTTCTAAACAGAGGTGGAATATTTACGGCATATCATCTCTGAACGAGAGGTAGAAACGAACCCCCGAAAGATTAAAGCTATGGTCACACAAAACGTCTGAACACTTAGAGGTTTTGTGGGGATTATAGAGAATTAAACTTCTTGACTGTAAAAGATAAATTTCTCATACCCATTATTGACGATCTTATTGATGAATTATATGGAATAAATATCTTCTCTAAAACTAATCTTTGAACAGGGTATCATCAGATCAGGATCAAGGAGGATGACATCTACAAGACGGCTTTCAGGACACACCAGGGTCATTATGAATTTAGAGTGATGCCTTTCAGCCTGGCTAACACATCTTCAAGGTCTTTCTTCAAAAATTTGTATTGGTCTTCTTTGACGACATTCTAGTCTACAGTACTACTAAGTAGGAGTACTTTATTTATTTGAATGAAGTTTTAAAGATACTCCAAAATAACAGGTTCTATGTAAAACAATCTAAGTGTTGTTTCTTCTAAACAGAGGTGGAGTATTTAGGGCATATCATCTCTGAAAGAGAGGTGGAAATGAACCCCCCGAAAGATTGAAGTTATGGTCAACTGGCCCACTCCCGGATGATTAAGGCTTTTTGAGATTTTTTGAATTTAACAAGATATTACCTCAAATTTATATAGAATTACGGAATCATCCCCAACTTCTCACCAATTTGTTAAAAAAAAATGTGTCTTCGAATGGAATTCAGAAGTTGAGCAGGCTTTTCAATCGTTGAAGACAACCACGACTTTCAGTCCGATTCTACGATTGCCCCAATTTAAAGACCCCTTTACTATTGAGACAAATGTAAGCAACAAAACTATTGGAACGGTCTTTATGCAAGAGAATCAACCTATAACCTTCATAAGCAAGATTCTATGTCGTAGGACAATGGCGATATTACTTAGAAGGAACCTCCTTCATCATCAGAACAGATCAGCGAAGTTTAAAGTACTTATTAGATCAAAGGGTTTCTTCCATGGTACAACAGAAGGACATCTTGAAGCTATTGGGTCTAAATTACACGATCCAATACAAGCAAGGATCGTCCAACAAGATAGCAGATGCTCTGTCAAGAAAGGACTCTCATAACTCTGCAGCAGAAATCTTATACACCCTCTCCATATCTATGCTTGCCTGAATGGTAGAAGTAAGTGATAGTTAATCCAACAACTGCTATCAGAACTGATGGTTTCTCCTAACAGTAGGTCACATTTTTCTCTACAACAGGGCATATTGAGATACAAGGGGAGATTGGTCATCGGTGATAAAAAGGATCTTCACAACCAACTGCTCTATCAGTGTCACAATTTAGCAGTGGGAGGTCACTTTAGAGTTAGAGCCACTTATGAGAGGACCAAACAACACTTCTATTGTTCCAATATGAAGAAACAAATTTTACAATGTGTCCAACAATGCGACATCTGTCAATGCTGCAAAACAGAATGAGCTCCCACTCCCGGACCACTGCAACCACTGCCTGTTCCACCACATGCTTGAACACACATATTCATGGACTTCGTTGAATGGTTGCCCAAATCAGAGGGCAAGAACACTATATTAATGGTAGTAGACCGCTTCACCAAGTATGGATATTTTATTCCCCTATGACACCCTTTCACTGCAGCTGGAGTAGCTCGAAGTTACATGGAGACGGTACACAAGCTACACGGGATTCTGCAAGTAATAGTAATTGATCGAGATAAAATATTCACCAGTTTATTCTAGAAGGAACTAATGACGGCAGAAATGACAAACTTGTTCTTCAGTACCACATACCACCCTCAGATCGATGGACAAACAAAAAAGCTCAATTAGTGTTTGAAAATGTACTTACGATTCATGGTTAGAAGACTTGGGCCAAATGGTTATGCAGGGGCATCTGTATGCTGAATAGAGCGCCTACTCTGCATAGATTAGGCATACAGACATTCCAACCCATTTAATGGAAGGAGCTATTTGTTTACATCAATTAGTTCGTAAAGGATTCAATGCAAACTTTGATGGAAATCAAATGACTGTTCATGTGCCTTTATCTTTAGAGGGTCAAGGCTAAGTGGTGGTATAACACTTCGTACCATTTGAGTTTGAAGATGACACTTTTCCAAGCACCTCACGGATACCCACCTCCATATTTCTCAAATTCCATAGAGTTTGACTCTGCATTACCCTCCGTAGAGATGGTCTTAATAGAACGAGAGGAGACTAACAAGACCTTACGACAATAGCTCTTATAGATATAAGCCAGAATCAAGCAATATAATATGCTGATAACAATCGAAGTAAGAAAAGTTTTGAAATAAATGACTAGGTATTGCTCAAAGTACAATCTTTCAAATAAAAGATACTCAAGGGATAGGACTCCAAATTATCCATCCAATACCACAAACCATTCCAACTCTCTCAGAAAATTGAGAATGTAGCATACAAGCTCCTATAACTCGAAGAATCAAGGATTCACCCAGTTTTCCATGTATCCCAACTCAAGATATACATCCCCAACACACAGGACATCCAAAAAAACTTGCGACCATAGGCCACATAAGACTTCATTAGTGTACAACCCTAATAAATCTTGCAACATAGAAATATATTATGGGGTAATCGACCCGTGGATCAAGCTCTTATCCGCTGGGAAGGAGCTCCAACTGAAGAATGCACATGGGAAGATTATAAGTATTTACAACACCAATTCCCGCATCTCAACCTTGAGGACAAGGTTGCTATTCAAGGGAAAAATATTGTCAAGAAATCCCTTAGGGTTTACTACAGAAAGAAGGGTAAGAAGAGAAATATACACAAAGGGCAAATTCGAGAAAACACAAAATAGTTGGGATTAGGGTTGACTAACCCTAAACAGAATTCCACAATCGACATCAATCATCATCATCACGCAATTCCGACCGTGCAACTTCAGCAAGCTTGATTCCGCATTGAAAAACGATTTTATTTAATGTCTTTAGGCCTATAAAAAAAACCCCTCCCATCGATTGTAACCACAACCAAAAATCAATAAAATGTCTTCTTCTTTCTTTCTTATCGTTATTCATCTTCTCTATTTTCTTCTTCTTCTTATCCATTTTTTCTTCACAAGTTCAAGGTCATGTCCAAGGCTTCTGACATAACATCTTGACCGACTAAGACCATTGAACGTAGTTGTTTCAGTTTAAATTGTGATTAGTGATCAGAATTTGAGTGACTTTCAATTCGAGTAGTTTGATAAAAATAATTCTATCAGAACAAAATCTGACTTTAGAAAGGTCACTAATCCTTAGTGTGATCATCCTGTATTTAGTCATCAAAAAGAGAGTGAAAGAATTTTTTATTTTTATTTTTGTAGGTTCAGAGATTTTGTTTTGATACCATGAAACAAATTTTCTGTTTATTTGACCCGTATTTGGCCTTCCATAGCTTTTATGAGTACTAGAATTTTTGGAGAAGAAATCCGTCCATTCCTAAATGCATTTGATCATCTTATGCCGCAAACAAAAAGTTCCTATAAAAATATCTTAAGTCATTTACCTAATAGAGAAAATTTTAAAATAAAATTCCTAATGTCCAATCCACCATTATCTTTAAAAACATAACATGCTTCCCACCTCACCATATTATCTCACAACACCTCCCCTATCCCATACCACATAAACTTCCTCATAACCTTCTCCAAACTCTTGGCCACCCCCAAATGGATTCTAAACAAGGATAGATAATAAATAAAAATACAAAACAGACAAGTTTGGGTTAGAGTGATTATACTGTCTAAAGAGATCCAACACTTGAGCCTTCTAGAATCTCTAGTAACAATGTCATCTTAGTGAGGAATTTTGCTATGCTACCTGCTGACCACTGTGAGTACTACGGTAGCAAAGTTATCCTCCATGTTAAACCGCACCAGACCACTCTTGTTTAGGTTTATGTCAAGCTCTGAAATACTCTCTAAATTTTGAACAAGGGTGAGAGCATTCTTAACCAATCTCTCATTATATGGAAAAACAAAAAACAAAAGAAAACAAAAACTAAACAAAACAAAATAGTAGCAATTGCAAACTGGAGGTTAGAGATCTTCACTCTATCTTTCCCAACAATGTGACACTTATCCAATCTCTTGCTGATCCTCGCATTAGTATCCAACTAAGCACACCAACCACCAAAGGGAAAGCAAACTGAGAGAAACGATTCCCCTGACTAATGCCTCCAGAACTTAAACAAGAAGCTCATGGCTTACCATTAACAATAATTGTAAACAAAATCGAAGATGAACACTCATGAACCCAACATCGACTTGATTCTCCATGAAGACACAACCAACCCCCCAATGGAGACATTGTTAAAGAGTGCAGATACTTGCCTTCATTTGATGCTGAGAGAACACAACTTTTTCATTGATTTTCAAGCAAAAATTGGCCTTAAGCTGCTGAATGTTTTCGCCATTATAGTAACCCTCTCTAAAGTATTGCTAAACTGTTAAGTGGGGATCTAATGGGCTGTGTTTCCTACTCTTGTGATAGACTTTCATTGCTAATAATAATAATAATAATAAATAACAAAATTAGTAGATTCACTCTGACCTTATTTCTTTTCTATAGCGTTCCTGCCTTTGGTTATGCGAAGTTAACATTCTCAACCCAACATAGCCTAAAATTTCAATCAACAGAATTCTATAACTGATTTGCAGGTTGAGGTGAATGTTGGTTTGGCAAATTCACCTATACTTTCAAGTGAAAAAATTGGGAATGACAACAGTTCCAAGACATGGAATCCTTGTCTCCCCTAAATAGATATGAGAAACATGTTCCAGGGAATTTCATTAATCACATGAATGTGCTATTTATAACTTTACGAAGGATTAGTTTGTGGAGGCTTAATGAACACAGAAAAAAAACAAGAGCATTTATGCAAACTACATAAAAAATTTAAAATCATATCAAATATAAGAATATATTTATCTCTTTATATACTACTGGCTGTATAATGTGATGTATAGGACCCTGGTTCTAAAAAGCAATAACACCATTTTCTTACCAAAAAAAAAAAAGAAGTCGTTATTCTCTAGATCTCAATAAAGAAATTGAGGATAAAACATATCAACAAACCTTGAAGTTTTTCTGTGTATCATAATACCCTGAGACAATTATAAGAAGCCGAATTTTCTCCAGCTCTGAAATTACAAAAGAAGCATTCAATATATAAATAAATAAGTCAATATTTATTGCTGAAAAATGCCAAGTTAATTTGACTAGAAGGTTTGCTGATGGGAAGAACAGAACAAAACATTTTACACTTGTATCAATTTTTAGTTTAGAAAGTCCCTCTTTCCTTCTACTACGCTTGTTGAACTCTTTCTAGCTAAAACGGAAAAGGAAAAAAAAAGCCTTTTTCTTGACCAGTTAATGATAATATAATTGTTTAAACTCTATACTTTCCAATAAGAAAAACATTTTCTCTCATCCTAACAACATATCCAGAAGATAATTTGAGGCAACGTGGTTTCCTTATTCCATTTACTCCTTTAGTCTTCACTTATTTTCAGCAAACTTACTATTTGGGTTAGGTTGTCCTACACCAGCTTCTCAGTGACAAGAACAAATACTGGTATTCTTATCTTAATATTGTATTTAAAATCTCATGTCCAGTAATATAAATTGATGCTGAACATGGCTTTTATCACTTACTTTGAAAATATTTTATTTCTTGAGCTGATGTATCCTCATGAGAAAAAAGTTGCTCCACCGAAATCCCAATAGAACTCATCCCTATGGATGCCATCTTTAATCTTGAACTACTTCCATCAGGTTTACCTGGTTCAATGATTCCTATGTCAACTAAATGCAAGATGAAATTAATAGTACAATTACAAAGGTGTTTTCTTGGATGACAAATAGCACCTCAAGACAACACAAATACTCGATAAGAAGATAGGATTGGTAGTTAAATGATATTATCAAACTTCAAAACGATTGCATGTAACATTGTGAATCCCTTCTTGTCAATCTGGGAATTAAATAGAAGTTGAGCATACAAGTAGAACTATTACAATATGTAGCTTGGAACGAAAGCAACAACAAGTTTCAAAGAATATAATGTTAATACAGAAATCAAGACTATTTTTGGGTACATGAAAACATTTTAAGTTTCCATCTTCTAAATTTTATGTATTTTATTTATAAAATTATGTAAGTTAAATGAAGTAAATAATAGTTAAAAGATGATGATAGAGTTAGAAAGTTTTAGAAGATTGTTGTTTTTTAGTATCTTCTAAAACAATATTTTGTTTTGTACTTTTATTATTCCATAAATATGCAACTCTCACATACTTTCATAAATAAACACATGCATAAACACATCTAAATTTAAAAAAATGAAAAACTATAAAATATTTTATGTACTATAAGTTTCATTTTTCTCTCTCTTCATGTTCCAATAATGGACAAAAAATTGGCACTAAAACTCTATCCCAATAAATTTTCCTTTCATTTCTTAAACATACATATGGATAGAGATAGACTGAGGGGAATAGAGGAGATGGAACAGAAAATCGTTTCACTTTCTCTTGCTTGGGAGTTTAATTTTCGATAGAATAGAAGTAAAAAATATAAACTTTAGTCTTCAATTTCTTCCTGCTCTATTATTTTTGTAATTCTCCAAATTGGAGTCAATGAAAAGAAAATTAAATTACCACGGTGAAAAGTTTGAATTATGCTTCCTACATTAGTACAATTATAAAAATAGATGTTTTCCTTTCTTTACAAGCAGACAACTTTAAATACTATTCTCTCTATTCACTTTTCACCCAGTTTTTAGCATCCAAACAAGAAAAGTAAAATAGTATCCTTTCTCTTCCTTTCCACCGTTCTTATGTTTTTCTTTTCTCTTCCCATGTAATGCTTGGTCCAAGAAAAATTTATTATTTTTATTCACCCAAAAGCGCTTAAATTGCTATTTCATAAAATAAAGAATTATTTCGAAATAAATAAAATTTATTTATAGTTTATTTATAGAGACTAATTTAGGAAACTCTAGGTAATCCTAACAGATGAGAAGAAAAGGCAAGAAGGAGCATTGATCTGCAATCAAGAAGTAATATCCAAACCTAATCTAGGCCTCAATTTAATAGCATCTGTGCTTTGGGGCTAGAAGACAAATAGAGAAGTTGAACATGCAGTACCATTCCAGCAATTCTGTCATTTTCTTCACCAATTTCTGAAGAGCAAACTTATATAGATAGAATATATATCATAATCTTTTAAGAAATCGAAATTGCATGATTTGGATGAGAACCGAGTAAATTATGATTTTTAAATAATTACTGCTAATTCTGGGATTTCACTTAGTTGATTTTGGGCTACTGGATCCCCTTCATCCAATGATCATGTCTAGTTTTTTAGGTATATAAGAACTGTATCTGGATTGTGTCTCTGCTAGGAGCATTGAATCCCAAAGTAGGCTGCATAATAATGCAAATCTGAAAATTCTTTTCAGTTTTAATGAATGATGTTGGTTACTGAAATTGATAATTTTTTTAACTCCTGGCAGAGAATTTGGATATGCAAGGTATTAGATATATATTACATATTAGAGTTTTTTTAGAGTCTATTGAATGTATAAAAAGGGAGGAAAAATGTTTGATGTTGCTAACATGAGCATGTTAGATTGCTAGAATTGCATGGTTTCTGATGATTTGAGAATTTTGCATAGATGCAAAGTGATTATCTTGAACACAATGCAGCAATAATTTAGCATTAAACAACGAAGTGGACCTTAGTTTGTGAATTTCGATGGTGGAATCAATTAGATGTAAATATTTCTACTTAGATTTAATTCTAAAGATTTCAGTGTGTTCTGTTTCCAGGACGTTGTTATTGGTCTCGTAACACTAAAATCTGTACAAATGGGTATTTTCTAGATCTTCCTTTACCTGTTTGGAAAGACGGTA